CTTTCCCCTGACTTCTTCAATGACCTTTATCACACTTATCTTATTCCTATTGAGGTTTATCCACCTTCATAAATAGTAAGCAACGCAAGAATAGCAACCATGTCACTTTAGTCACTGTATTTTCCCCAAGTACTAGCAAAGGATCTGGCATATTGTACACTACACATGTCTGATAATTCAACCTAGAAATTCCATTTCTAGGAATTTATCCTTAGGAAATATTTGTAAAAGTATACAAAAAGATATATGTAAGGAAGTTCATCAAAGAATAATTTATAACCAAAAGTCAGAATACCTAATATAGGCAACAAACCTAAATAATGTTCCTCTATAGGATGGCATATTGTGAAATATTAATGATGATGATATTGGTTCATATTAATTAATGAAGGAAAATACCCACAATAAATTGCCAAGTATGACAGGCAGACTAAAAATATACACAATGTTGGGAGGTGGCTGACTCTCATATATGAAAAACACAGGCTTTGTTATCAGGATCCAGGACATGAATCTAAGCTCTGACAATTATCAACTTGGAGATATTTGTTACTGGAAAGGGGACCTGGCCCTGAATGGATCTGCCTACGGCCAGCCAGTAGTGTGTGGGTTCTTGACTTTGTGCAGGAAAAATTTCACAACATAAGTCCAGGTGAATTTTAGAGGATGTATATTAAAGCTGGGGATGGTGAAACAAGGACATGAGCCTAGGCTGGGCTGCTTTGGCTCACTAAGAAGTTAGAGAAGCCCTTGATGGTTTGGCTCAGTGGGTAGAACATCGGCCCACAGGCTGAAGGGTCCAGGTTTGATTCCAGTCAAGGGCATGTACCTGGGTTGCACACTGGATCCTAAGCCCTGGTCAGGATACATGCAGGAGGCAACCAATGGATGTTTCTCTTTTGCATGGATGTTTCTCTCTCTCTGTGTCTCTCCCCCTCCCTTCCACTCTCTCTAACAATCAATGGGAAAGTGTCCTCAGGTGAGGATTAATAAAACAAAAAGTCAGAGAAAAGGGGATCTTGGGGAAAGGTTGGGGGGGTTACCCGGGATGAATTGCTGCTACCCATTGCTCTCCTGGTTACAACCCTCCTGGGGTCCCTTAGAGTGCAGGAAATGCATGGCTGTGGGGAAAAGGTGGGGGAGGTAAGGGGTGTGCTCCTGGGAGGGAGCTGGGACCTTGGTTTTGAGGGCTCGCTGTGTCGAGGAGGTCTTAGGGAAGGATCTCAATAGAATATTCATCAACTCTATGCTGATGTACCAAAATGAGGTTTATTCTCCTAACTTCATCTGTTCTTGGCTATAGTTGGCAAATGGCACTAATTGAATTTCTGCTGTCTGTCTCCCCAAGGATGGTGATTTAAGCTATTTACCCTCTCTCTGGGTGGGAAGAAATGCAAACCATTTATTCTCAAGTGTCCCTGGCTTACGGAAGATAGGATTTACTAGAAGGCCACAAACTGCTTGGCATCTAGATATTCTAGATCAGTGGTTCTCAACTTTCCTAATGCCACGACCCTTTAATACAGTTCCTCATGTTGTGGTGACCCCCAACCATAAAATTATTTTCGTTGATACTTCATAACTCTAATTTTGCTACTGTTATGAATTGTCATGTAAATATCTGATATGCAGGATGTATTTTCATTGTTACAAATTGAACATAATTAAAGCATAGTGATTAATCACAAAAACAATATGTAATTATATTTGTGTTTTCTGATGGCCTTAGGTGACCCCTGTGAAAGGGTCCTTCGACCCTCAAAAGGGTCGCGACCCACAGGTTGAGAACCGCTGTTCTAGATGGCTGCAAACTGTTGTTTAACGATATGTCCTAGTTTCCCTATTCAGCTTTGTCCTGGCTTACTAGCCTGTCTCACTTTGGACATGTTACTTAATTTTCAGTGCCTGTTTCCGTCTAAACTATGGGGAGAATAATAACAGTATCTATCTTACAGGGATGTTATTAATGCTAATATAATACATATAAAATACATATAGCCCTGGCCGGGTAGCTCAGTTGGTTAGAGTATTGTCCTGATATGCCAAGCTTTTGAGTTCAATCCCTGGTCAGAGCACATACAAGAATCAACCAAATGAATGCATAAATAAGTGAAACAACAAATCAATCTCTCTCTCTCTAAACTCAATCAATAAAAGTCTTTAAAAGTAAAAATAAAATACATATACTTAAAATAGCTTATTATAAGCACTTAATAAAATAAAAAACATTACATGCCCCTTATTCTATTAAAGAAAACATCTTAAATATTTAATTTAAAATGTTTATGTTATCTGTACTAATTTTCTTTAGTAACTTTAATACTAGGATACCCATCTCTTTTTGTCTTATAGTAAACTTTTTGAGATTTTCCAAGATTGCTCTTTACAACAAATTTTAAAACTAGGCTTGAGAATGTAATTTTTCTTAATTAATAATATTAGCAAAAAAATCCACAAAAATGAAGAAACGGCGCAAAGCCCCTCTTGCTCTCCATCCCTAGCATCTCCAAGAAATAGCATTTGGCATTATAAAACTAAAGAAATTTTATTTGATAAGGTGTCATACTGAACATAGAAATATTTGACCAAGTTCTTCTGTATAACATGTCTGAATATATCACTACTATCACTTTTTCTCACGTTATTGTAAATCTGTACTTAGACGTAACCTTGAACCATTAAAAAAAAAGTCTCTAATTCTAAAAGGTTATCTTGATAATTTGTTGCCATAAGGTGTAAATTCTTGAAAGACTTTTCATATTAGAGGGGAACCACTGCACTTCCTTTTACTCTATACAGGCATAGAAATATAATAAATTTTATGACTGCACTGGGTTCCTTTTTCTAAGTGTTGGAGAGTCTTTATCTCCTTAAATAATCAGTTTTTGTGATTCTATTTTGCAAAGTCAACAGGTACACAGAAAAATATTTGGAAAGACAAACATCAAAATAGTAATATTCATTAACTCTGGATGGTGGGACTATGGGCAATTTAAATGTTCTTTAAAAGTTCTTAGGTCTTGCCCTGACCGGTTTGACTTGCTTTGGCTTGGTGGATAGAGCATCGGATTCCAGACAGAAGGGTCCCAGGTTCGATTCTGGTCAAGGGCACATGCCAGGGTTGTGGGCTCAATCCCCAGTAGGGGCAGTGAAGGAGGCAGCCAATCAATGATTCTTTCTTATCATTGATGTTTCTCTCTTTCCTCTCCCTTCCTCTCTAAAATTAATAAAAAATGTTTTTTTTAAAAAAAAGTTCTTAGGTCTCTATATTTTTTCCTTTCTACACTAAACCTGCATTAATTTTATCATCAGAAACAAAAATTAAACTATTTCCATAAAAATAAAATAAAAAACAGAGTTGGGGAGAAATGTGAGTCTATAGGCCTGTAAAATGAATGGAGTGTGATTTATTTAATAATTTTCAATTGTTAGGCACTAATTTATATAAGATTATCTCAAAGAACATTCTCATATATCATTACTCTGATTCTAGACCAGTGGATCTGAATCTTTCTGGGTCATTTTTGATAATCTCATTAAATTATAAACTTTCTCTCAGAAAAATGGCACATTAACAAATATATACAATTTTTTACATACTATTTCGAGGGGTTTCTGGTTCCCTGAAAGCCCCAAACTGATCAAATTATCTCTGGTTAAGAATTCCTGTTCTAGACCATTTGAGCATCTCATTTTTTAAAACTAGAAAATGCCCAACAAAATTAGCTTGATATTTTAATTTTTCCTAATCTATTGGAGTGGACAGGGAACTGCCCCAAATTATCACATAACAACAAATAGCAAATGTTTATTACGTACTTATGAAGTATCAGGCACTGTTCTAAGAGTTTTACAAAGAGTTATAAAAAGAAAATTAATGGCAATTATCTGCCAAATGAATATGTGCATATAGGCACTAGGGAGGGGACATAGGTATCAATTCAATGGACAGGTCATTTAAGAAGGAAGTAAATATTCCCATGTCCTAACAAAAATACATTTCACAGAACAAGAGGAAATACCCAGGAACCTTGACCTTGAATTTTAAATGGGCAATAGAAATTCATTCCTCCTCCTTATCCTCAGAGCCCTTTTCTTAGAATTGATAGGACTGGGGAAGTAGGTAATCTTAAAACAGGCTTTTCTTGGATCCCAGCCCAGTCTGGCTAAATCAGGGCAAATCACAACCACACCGGTCCCCACCATCCACACAAATTCAGAGTGAGGTAAGAGGGTGAGTACTGTTGACATTAGAGGAAGGCCAGGCCAGGGATGGAAACTTCACAGCAGTGTCCTGGAGGGAACTCCGTGGTTCTGAAACCTGCAGTTGGACCCCTCAGAGCTGTGTGTGTGAGTGTGTCCGCGCGCACGCGCGCTCCAGAGGATGAAGTGCGGTGGGATTACGCCCAGGGCCAGCCAGAGTGACACGTTCACTTCCAACATTCTTATCCCAAGATCGGGTCTTTTGCTGGAAATCTTTCCACGACTGGGGCCATTTCTCTGCAGCTGGGCTGGTGCAGCTAGAGGGCAGAGATTCAGCTGTGACGTTAAGGATCGTAGTCACACAGTCCACGGCCATCTCCGTCACACAAGAACCTTCACCCAATTCAGTCACACAAACACCATCGCCCACTAGTTGCGGACTCACTACTGCACATCGTCCCGGTGCCACACCTGGCCCGCGCCGCCACCCACTCACACACAGTTACGCCACCGCGGTTCTCACGCACACTCCGCCAGGCGTGCGGAGCTCCCAACGCTCTGCGGTGAGGCCACGCCTTTGCTATCCCCGCGGGCTGCAGCGCCTTCCCTACGGATGGCCAGAGCTAACGCTCCCGCCAGGACTGCTCACCTGGACTCCGAACCGTTTTCACAGTGATGCCCACTAGAAGCGAGCGCGGGGCAGCCCGAGGCCTAAGGGGCCGCACGCAGGGGTTGCTGGGAGCTTCGGCTCAGCACTAAATGCGCAGGCGTGGCCAACCCCAGGAGGTGGAGCTTCAGTCCCGCCCTCGGGTTAAGTGAGCAGAGATTCCCCTCGCGCCCCAGCAAGGGTGGGGGTCCTGGATGTTTCCTAAGTTGCCGCAGGCTCCTTAGCGCGTAGTCGGGCCAGCGGGGGCGTTCTGTGAGTGACCAAGCCGGCGCTGTGTGTCTGTCTTTGCGGTGATTCTGGGTGCGACTTTTTTCCACAGATGTAGCTGGTGTGTGTTTGAGAGGTTGCGATGGGAATGTGGTTTGTGGAGATTTTATGACTGTGTGTGGGGCTGTGTAGAACGGAATGCTGGGGTGGGGGCAGGAGGGCCTCTGAGATAATGGGACTGAGTACAGGGGATTGTGTTTTGGTGAACCTGTAATTGATTCTGAACATTTATGTGGCGTGGTTTCGATAGATTTGTTTTCCTCTGCAGACCATGGTGTGTGAGTCTGAGAAACAGCCTACCTGATTGTGTGGTGAGTATGTGCGCTTCTGATGTAATCTTGCAGAACTGTGGCAGGATGGCTATCTGGATGATGGATGTGACCCAGAGCCTCACTCTCCACAAATAGAGAAAAGAATGTTGCATCTGAAGCATAAACTTTACTGATGGATTTAGTGGGGAGGGGAAAAAACCTGATATTTCTGGATAATTATGTATTTGTTTTACATTTAATCACAGGTTCATCATGGGGAAGAATGTGAATAAGCATAACTTTAAAAATAAGTTTTCAAAGGTAATTCCTTCTACGCAGCAGTTGATTTTCTTCTGCCCCAGATTCCCATGAGTGGGTGTTCCCTCTTTCTTAGTATTAAGGGGATTTTGTTGGGAAGATTTAAGAAGCCCTAGACTAAGTTTTGGGTTTTTTTTTAATCTATATATATAAAAGCCTAATATGCTAATTATTCCTCCCACCTTCTACCCTCTGCCAGTTACTATGATGTGCACTGACCACCAGGGGGCAGACGCTCCAACAGGTAGGATCGGGCAGATCAGGACTGGATGAGGCAGGCCAGACATGCCCTGGAGCCCTCCCATTGTCCCTCCTGTTAGAAATGCTCTCAATGATGTCATAGGAATGAGACAAACACTCGAAACTGAATCGGCAAGGCAAATTTACTTTTGTGCAGAAGGGTGCTCCTGCCTGCAAATCATGGGCAAAAGCACACTGAATGGGAAGTCTGTTCTGGTTTTATTTCCTGATGCGGGGTCTGCCCTGCTCCTCACTCTGAACTCTGACCTGATTGGTCAGGGTTCAGAGCTCAGATTCCCATTATTATGCGATTGGCTAATTCAGAGGAAGGGGAAGGTAAGGCAAAGCCTAAGATGGTGGCCCCCTGAGAGCCTGAAGGTCATGTCAAAATCGCAGAACCTAAGATGGCAGCCCCCTGAAAGAATCTGAAGGTCATATCAAAATGGCAGGACCTAAGATGGCAGTGAGCTCCTTTCTTTGACAGAAAGATCGCTGGTTCACTCTCACACTCCCCAGTCCCCAGTGGGGTCCCTCGGCCTGGCCTGCACCCTCTCGCAACCTGGGACCCCTCAGGGGATGTTGGGGAGCTGGTTTTGGCCCGATCCCGCAGGCCAGGCCAAGGGACCCCACCAGTACACGGATTCTAGTATTTTATAAAGTTGTTGTAAACACTGAATTAGTGAGCCATTGATCTTAGGGAAACACAGAGTTAGTTTCCTGCAAGCATCTAGTCACAACATTTTCATCAATACATAACCTGTTTTATGTGTTTCTTTTTACACACTCTTCTCATAGATTTTTTTATTTTAACATTGAACTCACGACCAAGAACACTATAACTCATGCCTGAATGAAGCTTACCTAACATATTTTCTCTGTAAGGCACATTACAGCCTTCTTGTGCTTAGGAGCACTAGACATCACTTTAACTCTATGCTTGGGGGCACTTTAAACAGCAGGATCACCAATAAAAGGCACAAAAGTGAGAAAACATGGTACTAAATAGACTGTGAAAAAAGACACTTGTTTATAAGGCAGAGGGTTGCCTTGAGTTCAGCTGAGAAATGTGAGTCAGGGGACTCATTTTTTTATCACTCCATGAATGACCACAAAAGTGCTGTGAATATTGACTTTGAGATTACCAATAAATGTTAGCAAGTGGGTAAGTCTATAAATATGGAAATCCACAAATTATGAGGTTTGACTCTATATATTATCTGGTCCTTTACAGAAAAAGTTTGCCAGTCCCTATTTTAGAGTAGATCCCTTCTAATTATACAATTAGAGTGTTTAAAAACTACTTGAAACAATTATTTTCCCTCTGTCATCAATAATTTATGAAATTGATTATAACCCATTAAGTAAATAAAAATCCATAAACAAGAGAAAAGGGAGTAAAAAAGGAAAGCTCTTTTTTATGGAATGCCAGCTATTTAGTTTGATTTTACATGGCTTTGTGAACTCTGCTTCAAATACACTTAGTATTATATTTTGTTTTGATGAGGATGTTGAACAGTATGGTGTTTTCCTTTAAGTTCAATGTCATTTCTATCATCTCTCATGCCAGCTATCACCTGGAGTTCAGTAAGAGTGACATTGTTAGAATGGCTATATTTTCATGGCATGAAGGCTAGCCATGGTACAATAAAATAACACAATTTATCAGGCAATACTGAGTTTTCTTTGAAGTCAGTCTCCATCTGATTTCTTCCAGTGTTTCATGTTTGACTTGCCTGCTAATGACCAGCTCTTCTGCTTCTTTCTAAATTCTTGACACAGTGCCACCCTCATTGGTGGAAACAAGGTGCCTGGGAAATAGCTTTTCCAAACCTGGTCAATAGCTGGGCAAATGAATTCTAATTATGGAAGCAGTGCTGGTAGCTTGTGTGCATCCGCAGGTGCATTACTACTGAAGTGCTGGCTTAAGTATATGTGGTTGCTGGGTCCCTGTTCAGGGAGGGAGGGTGCTGCTGCATTGGTCATTCCTTAGATATAGATTGCCTGGACTAAACCTCATATTTACTTATTAAAGGGTTCTGCACCCAATTCCCATACTCTTTGGGGAGCAGGGTTTCTACACACCAACAAGCAATTCTAGCTTGTTATCCTACAATTTAATTCAATTCTAACACTATCTACCTGGAGATAGTGTCAAATCCCACAGGTTAAGGGCTCAGTCCTATAAGAATGCCCCCACCCAACACACATACTTCACATGCCAGTTGCTGTGCTTCTGACCAACCAAGTGTAGATTGGAGGTTCCAACAAATGCCTCTCTGGTTTTGATTAATTTGCTAGAGCGGGTCACATAATTCACAGAAACATTTGTTAAAAAGAAACAACAGCCCTGGCCAGTGTGCCTCCATTGGTTGGAGTGTCATCCCACACACTGAAGGGTTATGGTTCAATTCCCGGTCAGGGCACATATGCAGGTTTTGGGTTTGATCCCTGGTCAGGACGTGTACAGGAGGCAACCAATTGATGCTTCTTCTCTGTCCCTCTCCCTTCCTCTCTAACATCAATAAAATAATATTTTTTATTGATTTCAAAGAGGAACGGAGAGGGAGAGAGAGATAGAAACATCAATGATGAGAGAGAAGCATTGATAGCCTGCCTCCTGCATGCTCCCTACCGGGGATCCAGCCTGCAACCCAGGCATATGCCCCTGACCAGAATCAAACCCGGGACTCTTCAGTCTACAGGCCGGGGCTCTATCCACTGAGCAAAACCAGTTAGGGCAATAAAGTAACATGTTTTTTAAAAGGTGGCTTGTGGGCTTTGGAGGAACAAGAGTGAGGGAGGAAGGGAGGAAAGGAGAGAAAGAGAAAGGAAGAGAGGAAGAGGGGAAGGGAGCGAGGGAGGGAGGGAGGAAGAGAAAAAAAAGAGAAAGGATTAGAGCATTGGGCCATGCACTGGAGGGTCACTGGTTTGATTCCTGGCCAAAGGCATGTACCTGGGTTATGGATTTGATCTCTGGTCCGGTCGGGGCGTGTATGGGAAGCAAACAATGAATGAACTGATGTTTCTCTCTGCTCCCTCTTCCCCCCTCCCATCCTCCCTCCCACTCTCCCTAAAAACCAATGGAAAAAGTATCCTCATGTGAGGATTAACAGCAACAACAAAAAGAAACAACAGGACCTTGGCCAATGTGGCTTAGTTGGTTGAGACTCATCCCATGCATCAAAAGGTTGATGTTTTTGGCCCTCACCAATTTTGCTCAGTGGTTAGAGTATCAGCCTGTGGATCCAAGGGTCCCTGTACCATACCCGGTAAAGAGCATGTACCTCGGTTGCAGGCTCCATTCCTGGCCTGGGTCAGGGTGTGTTTGTGAGGCAACATCAATGTTTCTCTCTCTCTCTTTCTCTCTCTTTCTCTCCCTCACTCCCTCCTTTACACTCTCTCTCTAAAAAAAAAATTAAAAAAAATATCCTTGGGTGAGGATCTAAAAAAAGGTCTATGGTTTTTATTCCTGGTCAGGGCACATACCTGGATTGCAAGCTCTATGTTCTACATTAAAATTACAGTGACTGGAGAATGAGAGAGAGAATAGTTAGCCATGTTCTGTGGAACCCCAGAACTCTAGGAGCCCTGACTTCTTATTTATACACTAGAGGCCCAGTGCACGAAATTTGTGCACTGTGGGGGCAGGGGGTTCCTCAGTCCGGCCTGTGCCCTCTCACAGTCTGGGAGCCCCGCAATCAATCGCCCCAAAAAGGTAGATTCTGCCCACCTGCCGCATCACCGCCGCGGGGTAGCCTGGGTCTCCCTCTTTGGGGCAATTATGGAGCCCCCCCCCCAATTGATCACCCCACTGGCCAGTGGTCTAGGACTCCCTCTGCAGGGCAATCATGCACCCCGCAGAGGGAGGTCCCACCCACCCACCGCAGCCCACCAGTCGGTGGCCTGGGCTTCCCTCTTTGGGGCAATAGTGGAGCCCCCAGATTGATCGATTGCCCCACCAGTCAGTGGCCTGGGCCTCCCTCTGCAAGGCAATCATGGGGCGATGGCCAGATCCCTGACCAATCACATAGCACTCGCCTTGGCTGGCCTGGCACCAGTGGGTGTCATAGCGTAGTCATCCGGAAGGTCGTCCGGATGGTGGTTCTACTGTTTGGTCATTCAGTCAATTTGCATATTACGCTTTTATTATTATAGACTAGAGGCCCGATGCACAAAATTCATGCAAGGGCCTTGGCCCCGGCCCCCACCCGCTGCCACTGTCACGGCCGGGGGCCTCTGTTGCCTCTGCTGCAGCCCCCACCCACTGAGGCTTTGTCTGGAAGGAAGGACATCTGGTCTAATTAGCATATTACTCTTTTATTATTATGGATGAGTTTTGTGGACTCTGTTGGACCTATCCTAGAACAAGCCCTTCCTAACCTTCTCCCATCCTCTTTGTCTGTAGCTAATGTAAATTTTTCAGAATAGCTTACATCTTTCTCCCCTGTACATGATGTACAAAACCACTTGCAAAACTCGGAGATGATGGACGCATTTATCTT